GGCGAAAAACCCGATTTTGGCCAAATTTGCCATTCTAGCCCGGCCCGCGGCATGTTAGTGGACCCGAAGCCGGCCGTGTGGTATAGCTGAGATGGACCTCGTCAAGATCTATCATTTGATATTAAATCCGTCAAAATATCTTGTTCTGAAGCCGAGTTATCTGCCGGCCCGTCTGAAACTATGGTATTTACGGGTTACTGTAGATTACTGTAAATACCGTAAAAGCTGTATTAAAAGGGCGGTTCTATTACAGGGGCCCCTCAATTAGAGGTTGGGCTTCTATTCTTAAACAACGCATTTTGAAGAGGCCCTTTTATTTTTCCCAGCTCCTAGCTCGGAGTGTCCTTCTATTAGAGGGGCCCTTCTAATTCAGAATTGACGGTGCTTTTTAATGTCTCTCTCGGATTTTCTGATCTCTAACAACCACTTCGATTTCCAGAAGAAGCCCGCGTGACGCGTGAAAACAAGAAGCTCTCATTCGCATGGCTCATGTACGATGTGTTGGCGATGGTGAAACAAACGAAGAGTCTAACATCGGACGACATCCGAATGGGCGGTTCCAACCCTCTCTACACTATGCTCGACGCCCATCGTTCTCAATACCTACTCGATAATCGATCGGTGTTCGAAGACTACATCCGCTTCGCTCCGTCCAAAAACCAGGGAGAACAAGTAGCGCGAGCACTGGAAATCATTCGAATGTACGTGGAAACGAATCCGGGTCTCGAAGAGGTGATGTTCGTGATAAATGAGTGGGCGAGAGCGTCGAAACTGTTCGAGAATCAGCCCATTCGAAATTATCACCTATCACTGCTGTTCATTCTGTTCGCCACAAGACAATTCTCGTCGGTAGATGGAAATGCGGCGGCGTTTTTCCCGAAAATTGATGAGAGAGGGTGGAGAGAGGAGAAGGCGAACGGAGAGTTCAAGCAGGGACTGGAGTTTATGGAAATGAAGAAATCGCAGATGGTAGGGATGGGGGAATTGGCTGAAAATCAGCCGAAAAATGTGTCAGAAATGACTTTCGAAGAAAGTTTGGATTTTCGAGTTTTTGGAATTTTTTGAGATTTTTCAGGTTTTTTTTCCAGGTTTTTGATTCTTTGGAATTTTTGAATTTTTCTTGGAATTTTCGAAAATTTTGAAATTTGGACATTTTTTGGAATTTTTTTCTCATTTTCTGAAATTTCAGATTTTTTTGGTAATTCTGAAACGTTTGGAATTTTTGACCCGAAAACTAGGGAATTTTGACATAGAATTTCGCAAAAACCTGACGAAAAATCGCCAATAAATGGTGGAAATTGGCTGAAAATCAGCCGAAAAATGAGTCAGAAATGACTTTTTCGAAGAAAGTTTGAATTTTCGAATCTTTTGGGATTTTTAGATAATTTTAGAAATTTTGAAATTCTAAAACTAAAAATCCGAAAATTGACAAAAGTTGACTGAAAATACCGTAAAACCTGTATTAGAAGGGCCGTCTCTTCCTTCTATTGTTCCAAGGTACCTCCGGAGGGCCCTCATATTAGAGGGGCCCTTCTAATACAGGTTTTACGGTAACCAAAAATGGAAAATTTGAGTCAATTATATTCTGAAGTGTCAAAAATCAAGAAATGAAGTATCCGGCTGTCCGGATGTCCTCGTTTTTTTTTCAAAATTTCAACTACTGAAGGCCAAAAAACCGGCTCCAGAAATGAGCAATCTGAAACGGAGAAAACAGGATTTCCAGTTAAAATTCTTGAATTTAAATTCAATTCAATTTTTCCAGATCGTGAAATTCCTGGAATTCCTGGCGTCGCGAAAATTCCGTAAACTCCCGAATGTCTCGTTCCGCACGCTTCGATTCTCGTCGATTTTCATGCGAGGCGAATGGCAAATCTTCCACGTGGCAGCACTCAAAACCTACTACAACCTGCTGTTCAATTTGCGCTTCGAGGAGTTGCCAGTGTCGACGGATCCAACGATGACGGTCCGAAGCATAATTCGCGAGAACGAGCCGTTCGTTGTCGAGTTGCCAGGTGCGTGGTTTTTTTTCGCGAATTTTTGAGCCAAAAATGAGCGATTTGAAGCTGGAAAGCAGCACTTCCAGAGCCGAAAATTAAGGGGATTTTTGTGAAATTTTAAGCAGAAATATGGAAAAATTATTAAAAATGAGCAATATAGACCTAGAAAACTGAAAAACCGGATTCAAAAAATAAGGGATTTCAGCTAAAATAGCCCTAAATTGGATCTTGAAAAATTAGGTTTTTGAAATTTTTGATTCAAAAAACGGCCTTGATTTCTGGCTCAAAATGATCATAATTCGTCTAAAAATGCACAAAAAATTGACGCTAAAAATGAGCGATTTTGAGCTAGAAATCTCGAAAAAATGGATTTTTAAAACCTCTTTTTTAAATTAGACGACGTTTTTGAGCTAGAAAACTCGAAAATTGACTCTGAAAATATTGATTTTCAGCTAAAATACCCTAAATTTGACCGAGAAAAATCAGGTTTTTGAAATTTTTGATTCGAAAAATTGCCTTGATTTCTGGCTTAAAATGATTCTAATTCGTCTGAAAATGCACAAAAAAATCAATCTGAAATGTTTCCTGAAAACCCGAAAATTTCGTTTTCAGCCGACGCCGATCGCACGCTGGTCCATCGTAAGCTCATTGAGCACACTGGTGTCGAGGAGATTTACATGCGAAACATGGAGAAATCGGTTCGCGGAGTGGATGAACAGCAGAAGGCTAATAGTGAGTTTTTTAGAGAATTCTCTGAGAATCGAAATTTTTTGAAAAAACGGAAATTTAGAAACTGGGAATTTCAAATCTCTGAAAATCGGAAATTATGAGAAAATCAAAATTTAGAAATTCTTAGAATAGGAAATTAGGAAAATCTCGGAAAATCGTAAATAATAAATTTTAAGCTGAAAATCTGGAATTTTTGGAAAATCGAAAATTGAGAAATCTGTAAAATCAGAAATTTTAGAATCTGAAATAAAGAAATTCTGAAATTCTAAGACCTGAAGTTCAAAAAGTCTGGAATTCAGGAAACTAGAAAATCCACCCAAGCATTCAAATTCGAGACGATATGTCTCGGTTCCTTTGGAAGACATCCAAAAATGGTCGATTGATACAATGTTTATCATACTATCAGTGACATTTTATCAGTTGACAACTTTTTGATATCTCTCACAGAAAATGAGATACTTGGGCTGCAAAGTGGACGGTCCGGGTGGCGTTCTATTAGAGTGTATTCAACAATTCGGAAATTCTAATCTTGAAAAACTAGAGAAGATATGAAATACGGAAATTGGAAACCCTTCAAGGAATATCTTCGAAATTTATAAACTTGAGAAAATCTCGAAAGATGAGAAATTTCGAAATCCAGAAACTCCGAATTTAAGGAATTAATAAATTCAGAAATTCAGAAAATCAAAAATATAGAAAATCAAAAATATAGAAATTCAGAAATCCGGAACTTCAGAAATTCAGAAATTCAGAAATACAGAAATACAGAAACTCCGAAATTCAGAAATCCGGAAATTCAGAAAATCAAAAATATAGAAATTCAGAAATTTCTAAATTCAGAAATCCGGAACTTCAAGAATTCTGAATTTCTATATTCCGACTTTCAGAAACTTTGAGATTTTGAAAACCTAAACTTGAAAATCTGAACTTTTTGGAAATTCCTAAATTCTAAAATTCCGCAATATCCGAAATCTCGAAAATCCCCAAAAATTCCCAAAAAAAATTGCAGCCCGCTATCTGGTCTCAACACGTGGCACACTCGAGTCCATGTACAAACTCCGTCAGCTGGTCGCCGTCAAAGTGCCCATCAAAACGTATGTGACCGGACAGGAGATCTCAACACAAATGGCTCGTCTGTGCTATGAGAAAATCGTCAAGGGACACATCAGCAATTGATCAGAGACAGACGGAGACGCAGATTTTACGATTTTTTTCTTATATTTTTTGACCCACTTTTCATAAATTGCCCCCGCCCCCCCCCCCATAAGCCCCGCCCCTTTATGCCCCGCCCCCTTTGCTGTGCTCATGAAAAGGAAATTTCGAATTTTCTCAATTTTTTTCCAATCTTTATATCCATGAGCATCTTTTTTACTGTTGTTTCTTTTGTAGGCCACGCCCCTTTTGGGCTCCGCCCCCTCTGCGTTCCGGTTATCTGCTTCAATGAATTGTCTTGTTTTATATGTACTTTTTTCCGCTTTTTTACGATTTTCTGATTCTGTTTCATTAGACACAGTGTGGTGAGAGACGCAGACAGAAGGAGAAAAGGGAGAGATAGAGAGAGACGCAGACGCGACGAATCGTCTCGCGTGGAAGGCAGAAACAACACATTGCTCAGTCTTAACTCGGGGGCGATTTTTGGGGTTTTTGACGATGTTAAAAGAGAATTGGAGTCGAATTTTGAGAATTTATAGATTTTTTCAGAAAAATTGGCTTTTTGAACTCAAATGGAGACTGGTTTTTTGTATAGAAATGGGTGAGTTTTTTGGGGATTTTTGGAAAAAAAATTATATTTTAAAAATTGAAAAAAAAAAATAAATTGCATAATATTTGTAAAAAAAATTTCAAAAAATTAAAAAAAAATTCTGAAAATTTTTTTTTTGAAAATTTGAAATTTTTTTTGGAATTTTAAAGAGATTTTTAAAAATAATTTTCAGAATTTCCAATTTTTTTGATTGCAAAATAATTTTTTTTTTAAATTAAAAAATTTTTTTTTCGAAATTTCAGATTTTAAAAAATTTCAGAGAAGTTTCTCTGAAAGACTTGGAAATTTGGTACGACCATGGTCTGGTGACACCGGAGGATAGGATTACGATTTGTGAGACAAATGGAGAACGATCGATTTTCAAGATTAGTGAGTTTTTGGAATTTTGGAATTTTTGGAAACTGAATTTCTGAATTTCTGAAATTCTGAATTTCTGAATTTCTGAATTTCTGAATTTCTGAATTTCTGGGTTTCTGAATTTCTGAATTTCTGAATTTCTGATTTTCTGAATTTTTGAATTTCTGAATTTCCTGAATTTCCGAAATTTTGAATTTCTGGGTTTCTGAATTTTTGAATTTCCTGAATTTCCGAATTTCTGAGTTTCTGGGTTTCTAAATTTCTAAATTTCTAGATTCTGGATTTCTGGATTTCTGAATTTCTGAATTTCTGATTTCCGAATTCCTGAATTTCCGAATTTCTGAATTTCTGGATTTCTGGATTTCTGAATTTCTGAATTTCGGAATTTTTGAATTTCCTGAATTTCTGAATATCTGAAATTCCGGATTCTGAATTTTTTTAATTTTTGAAATTCAGTATTTCAGAATATTTCGAAAATCTTAAATCTCGAAAATTGGAATTTTCAAATTTCTGAAATCCGGAAAGTGCAGGCATTCCCCGATTTTCTAAAATTCTGAATTTTTGAACTTTAGAATTAGAATTTTCGGAAGTTCCCAAAAATGTCGGAAACTTCAATTTTTTTGAATTTGTGATTTTTTGTTTGCAAATTCTAAAAATTTCGAAATTTCAGAATTTCTAAATATCTGAATTCCCGAACTTCCGAGATTCCGAAATCCTGAAATTTCAAATTCCCAAAAAATCCAAAAAAAAATTCTTTCAGGCACTCTCATCAATCTATATGGTTCGGAAGCTCCATTCAAGTTAATCCCACTAAAACCACTGCCAACACCTCGATCCATAAGCTCCGCCCCCAAGAAAGCTCCGCCTCCAAGGGCATCCGGTCCGACAGAACCACTGAAAGCCGAAGCAGCTTCTCCAGTGTGTCCAAGAATCATCGAAAACGACAAATTCCAAAGCTCCGCCCCCAAGGGAAATGGGCGGAGCTTCTTACATGGGTACATCCGGACCAGCAGACACACAGAAATACGAAGGAACTCCAGTGATCCTTCCAAAAATTATAGAATTTTCAAATGTCAAATATATGGATTATCCATTGTTCAATGTGCTCGCCGAGCCGGCAGATAGAAGAATAACAGGTACCGTAACTTTGAGCCAATTTATCTCATTTCCTGTCAAAGATATCGAACAGTAGTAAACTGATAAAATGTTGGTGATAATATGATAAACATTTTATCAGTTGATAAGTTTTCGATATCTCTGATAAGAACTGAGATAATTGGGCTCAAACTTGACAGTGTTTATTTTTCAGGAAAAGAAATTTATGAAGCGATGAAGGATTTGGAAATGATTTACAATCAATTACCAATGTCATATATTATTAAGAAATTTGATTTTCTCAAAAGGCGTAATTTCGCTAATGGATCGTTTAGTACGGTAGGTTTTTGGAAGTTTGGGAAATCCAAAAAATAAAAAATCCCAAATTTCAGGCAATCTGTCGTTTATGCAACCAAACTCCTTATGGAATTGAACTATTCTTCAATCATTTATTCTCCGAGGGACATATAAAACTATTATGTCATTTTTCGATTTCAATGCAATCGATTTGTTGGTGGATGGAACAATTTCAGAATCGTCCACAAGCGATACCGGCACAGATTCCGGTAATTGAGACTCCAAAGAGGGTAGTCGAGGTTTTGGGTGAGTTTTCCATAGTAATATTTTTTCACAGTTGTTGGAAAGTATTAAAATTTAGCAGTTCTTAATATTTCCTACATGTTGGTCCAAATTTCATAAAAATCGGATAAACATTGACCGAGAAATGAGTGGTCCAAAACGACGAGTCTCATTTCTCTAGTTTTCAAAATATATCTTTATTAGACCAAATATATCTCAGTTCCTGAAAAAAATATCAAAAAAATTCCAAGGGCAAAAATGTTTGTCTTGATATCAGAAACATTTTATCAGTTGACAATGTTTTAATATCTCTTACAAGAAACGAGATAATTGGGTTCAAAGTAACAATCTCTCAAAATGAAGTTAATGCATGGGTGCTGGGTGCTGGGTCCTGGGTCCTGGGTCCTGGGTCCTGGGTCCTGGGTCCTGGGTCCTGGGTCCTGGGTCCTGGGTCCTGGGTCCTGGGTCCTGGGTCCTGGGTCCTGGGTCCTGGGTCCATGTGACCGGGACTCGGGTGGCCTGGGTCTTGGACCCGGGTGACATGGATCCGGGTGACATGGGTTCGGGTTTTTTTTATTTGTGAGATTCTTGAATTCTAGGCTCCGCTTTTTGCTTAGCTCAACCAATTTTTTCCAGAAACCCCACCAATCCCCCTATTCTACTCCAACACCAGCAACGATATCCGGAAACTTTCCACATTCGACATTTCTCAATTTGGATTCCATTTTGCGCAATTACAATGGAAATATGGGATATATTTGGAACGTCGCTTCTCTAAAATTCGGATTCCGGTAAGGTTTCTTTCAGTATGTATATATATATATATATATATATATATATATATTTAAACCAAATAAATTAGATATGATAGAACAATTCATGAACTACAGAATGATGCTAATTGGATTACTGTAGCTTGTCTATGAGCAAAGTTACAAGCCAAGATCGTCTCGGCTTGTAACTTTGTTCATAGACTAGATACAGTAATCCAATTAGTTGCATTTTGTGGCTCTTAAATTCTTCTATCATGTCCATTTTAGTTGGTTCAAAAACTATGCTACTCAGTAGATTTTTTGGTCCAATTTTCAGGATTTCTGCAACCTTTGCCAAGAAAAAGTGGTTCCAAATCACTTCGGCATGACTTCCCATATATTCTCTAATCGCCATTTGAATGGATTAACTGGAATTTCAAAAAGCGATTTGAACTTTTGGAATAATTATTTCAAATTGGAAGTGGAGATGGAGCAAGTGCCAATCGATGTTAAGAAGAGGATTTTGAACTTTAGAAGTGAGTATTAAGTGTATAGTTTCATTAGAGCGCATTTTCTAGCCCTAAATCTCATTAAAAAAAAATGTAATTTACTGCAAACTTGTAGTCCGTAAAGTTTCCCACATTTTGGTTTAAAAATTATAAAAATCGAGTGAAAACTGATCGAGAAAAGGGTGTATGAGAAGACGCCTTACGATTCTGAAATTTACTAAATTCAATCAGTCAGTTAGATTTAAAAATGTGCTACAATTTGGTGTAAAAACCACTAAATTTGAAACAAAATTGACCGAGTTATGAGGGCTTTAAAAAGTTTCGCTCTAATAGAACACCACTCTATACTGGCACGGTTTGAGATGAATTATCTCGCTTCCTGTAAAAGATATCAAAATGTTGTCAACTGATTAAACGTTTGTGACATCATGAGAAACATTTTATCAGTTGACAACTTGTTCATATCTTTCACAGAAATCGAGATAAATTGGGTTAAAGTTTTAAGATAACCAAATTGATGATATTGAGTTTTAACGCTAGTTGTTCTGAAAAATATCGGCAATTTTACCTTTTTAAGGACAGGTTCAAAAATAATATATATATTCAGAAAATTCCAGAAAAATAATAGTACAGTATTCCGGCTCCATTAATTAACAGGTGCCTAGAGGGACAGGAATCCATAGAAGAATATAGATGGATTTCTGAAAAAATCAATACAAATTCATAGGCACATAAAAGACACTGCGCCAGTAGAACAGAATGAATGAATAGGGTTCCCTCTTTCGGTTCCTTTTATCATCAATTGATAGAGTGTAGGAAGAGGAGAGACTGTTTAGAGAAGTGATACTGATGCGTTGGCAGTTTTTTGTTCCGGAAAAAGTGTCTCTCGATTTCTAGTGCTCTCTCGTTGGGAACCTCAACAGGGCAGCGGCTTTTTGGTTACGGTACTCTTGTTATAGGTGAGCTCGGCGCTCTAGAAATTTCTGGATATCTGAACTTAGCCTAGCTTGGAATTTTGATTTGAAGTAAACCAAATTCTCGGCCGTGTAGCTCTCTGGAAAGAAAACCAAGGAAACGTTTTTTCTATTCATCAAAAGGCAATAGGCTAGATTTAAAAAAAAACCTAATTTATTAAAATAACACAATTCAAGTGTTCTGAGGCGTTGGGTGAGAATTAGACCAGAATCTTTTTTTTTGAGTGTTGCGAAGTCAGCTCTTTTGTTTCCGCAGCAATGAAAGTGTCTTCCATCCCAATCTGGATTTTTGAGCGTGACACAGAAACAATGGTACCATTGATTGCAACATTCGCACATGACCTGAAAGTTTGTTGTGTTCGAACTTGTCAAAAGGTTTGAAAATTTGAACAATTATAGGAGCCGTACATCTTTTGTGGTTCGTAGTCAGATGGGCTCTGTTCTAGTTTAGAGGTCCCAAAAAAATTTAGAGATCCGAAAAAAAATTAAAGGTCCCAAAATAAAATANANGTGCCAAAAAAATTAGAGTCCCAAAAAAGTTTAGAGGTCCCAAGAAAAAATAGAGGTCCAAAATACGAAAAACGCGCAGATGTTGGAATAATGTACTAGTATTTGAACTGTGCGAGTAGTTTGAGTTTTAGGGTCTTATAGGATGACATGACTACTCCTAACAATTTTAGCTCCAATTCTCTTGCATCTTGCCGATGAACCCAATTTACATTTGAGGAAAATTTGGGCAATACAGTAATCACTCCGTGATTATGCTGTCTCTCAGGCTTAGATAATTGTCAGAAAATATGCATTCCTAAGCCTATTAGAAGTATAAAATATATCATCAACAATTATTTTGCTATAAGACCTCAAAACTTTAAATTCTTACACAATTCAAATTTTAGTACATTATTCCGGTATCTGTGCATTTTTAAGTTTTGGACCACTATTTTTTCTTGGGACCACTAAACTTTTTTGGGACCTCTAATTTTTTTTTGGGACCTCTATTTTATTTTGGGACCTCTAATTTTTTTTTGGGACCTCTATTTTATTTTGGGACCTCTAATTTTTTTTCGGACCTCTATTCTTTTTTGGGACCTCTATTCTTTTTTGGGACGTCTATTCTTTATTGGGACCTCTAAACTAGAAAAGAGCCGTCAGATGTATGTACGTTCCCACCGGAGCGCACTTACTAGGTGGGCTGCGGGCGTCCCCCAACAAATGGACAAAATCAAAAGTTTTTTCTGAGAAGCCCCCATAATTCTCTGAAGCCAAAAAAACGATATTTGGAAAAAGTCAAATTACCCAATGCAAATCTTGATGGTTTGACCAGGCAATGTGTCGTTGTTCCGTAGTTTTTATAGTTCAAAATAAGAGAGAGTTTTCAAAATTTCAGAAAAATAGTACTAGAATCTTCCGCCTCCATTCATTAATAGGTGCCTAGAAGAGTATACAGGGATTTCTAGAAAAATAAAAAAAAATCATAGGCACATAAACACTGCGCCAAGAGGAGAGAATGAATGGGGGTTCCCTCTTCCTGTTCTTTTTATAATCAATTGAGAGAGTGTTGGGAGATGAGAGAGTGGTTAGAGATGGGACAATACTGATGTTTTGCCATTCTGCAATGATCTCTCGATTTCTAGTGCTCTCTCGCTTGAAACCAAGGCTGTATAGAACATGACGCAGCTTTTTTGTTTAGGGCACTTCTGTGATAAGCTGGGTACGGTAGCCTAGAAGTTTCTGACACTTTTCCGAAAGAACGGGCCGCTTGGTCCACGGCAACCTAGCTTGGAACTTAAGAAAATGTGAATTTTCATACGAATTCTGTGCTAATGTCTCGGTTTGGGGGAAACAAAGACATAGTGTTAGAGAGCCAGAGGGTCCAGACAGTGACTACAAACTACAACAGCTATCCTCAGAGGTCCCACTAAGGTTCTCTGGACATGTACAAACCTGAAGTTCTCAAAAAACTTAATCCCAAAAAATTAGAAGCAACGGTCTCTAAGTGTGAGCCTCTTGAGCTCTCATTCCTCATAACTTTTTCTTGTAAGATCGACTTTTCAAAAAAAAATATTTATTGATAAGTTTTGAAAAACCAGAATCAACACCATAGAAGACGTTATCCACATATATGTTTCGCATGACAGTCGGATCATTAATTTGAGACAGATGGCGTTTGATAGTTGCATTGAGCAGATATGGGCTTGTTTTGACTCCAAACGGTACTCTTCGGAAGCTGGTTGCCGAGGAATCTTGTAGCGTCACGATCTTCTTTATGGAGTCCGAGCATCAGGAAAGCTTTCTCAATGTCACTGCTGATCATGATCCTAAAGACTGTTTGATGACAGGGTGATGAGGCGGGTAGTGAACTCTGCCAGCAGATGGCTTCTCATCTTCCACGAATTTAATGAACTCTCGACAAAGTTGGTCTTCGATGATCTTTCCATACTGCATGTAGAGCTTCATGTTCTGATGTCTCGGCCGGGGATGAAGTACAAATCTAGAAAAGAATCTTGAAACGTTTAATTTAGAGTGACTAGTGCTCACTTTAAGTCGGTGTATCTCATCTCCTGTAGAAGATATCAAAAAATAGTCAACTATTAAAATGTTTCTCATTATATCACCAACATTTTGTCAATTGACAACTTTTTGATATCTCTCACAGGAAACGAAATAAATTGACTTGAAGATGATGCACTTCTATTAAAGGTGGGGGGAGATGAAAAAAAGAATGTTCTCGAATTTCCGTTTAAATATACCCCTCGAGGAGTTGAACTTGTCGAGGCGAGGATTGAAGGTGCGGGGCTGCTACCGACTGAGCCACGCGGGCGAAGAGAAAGGCGGCGCCTGATTGTAAACATAAGGGAGAGGACGACAGCTGTACGCAGAGTGACATTAAGCGTTGTACACCGTTACGATAGAATGCATACTCTGGCTACAAAAATCCTACGAAAAATCTCCTGTCCCCCCACCTTTAAGCTATAAAGCTTACCGTATGGATTGTCCAGCCATAAACAATACACGAATTTTCAGAAAAGTACTAACAGAATATTTCGGCTCCATTCATTAAAGGGGGACTCCGACCAAACATTTTTTATTGCATTAAAATGTGTTAAAATTTATCTATTTTTCAAATATTATTGCGAAAAAATTCAAAAAAAATCCGAAATTCCCAAAAAAACGGCGTTGAAAAGGAAGAAAATTCAAGAAAAGGTGCCGCCGGGGGACGAGGATTTTCAGTGAGAAACCTAGGCCACGGCAGCGGGCGCCTTTCCTACGTGGCAAATTTTCCGGATTTTTTTCAATTTCATTTCCGGCAGGTAAATACGGTAAGCAACCACTGTCGGCGACTTGAAAAAGAGGCTGTCAGGTGCCGTGGCTTAGGTTTCTCAGTGAAAATCCTCGTCCCCCGGCGGCACCTTTTTTTAAATTTTCTTCCTTTTCAACGCCGTTTTACGGGAATTTNGGATTTTTTTTGAATTTTTTGGCAATAATATTTGAAAAATAGATAACTTTTAACACATTTTAATGCAATAAAAATTTNTGGTCGGAGTCCCCCTTTAATATGTGCCTAGAGGAAAAAGGAACAAAGAGAAGAATATACAGAGATTTCTAGAAAAATCAAAAAACATCATATGTAGGCACATAAAAGACACTGCGCCACGAGAGAAGACTGAATGAATGAATGGGGTTCCCTCTCGATGTTCAGAAATTCAGAAATTTAGAAATTTAGAAATTCAGAAATTTAGAAATTTAGAAATTCAGAAATTCAGATATTCAGAAATTCAGAAATTCAGAAATTTAGAAATTCAGAAATTCAGAAATTCAGAAATTCAGATATTCAGAAATTCAGAAATTCAGAAATTCAGATATTCAAAAATTCAGAAATTTAGAAATTCAGAAATTCAGAAATTCAGAAATTCGGAAACTCAGAAATTCAGAAATTCAGAAATTCGGAAACTCAGAAATTCGGAAATTCGGAAATTCGGAAACTCAGAAATTCGGAAATTCGAAAATTCGGAAATTCAGAAATTCAGAAATTCAGGAATTCTGAGATTCTGAGCTTCTGAAATTCTGAAATTCTGAAATTCCAAAATTCCAAATTTCAGATCCCACTCAGAAATTCAGAAATTTAGAAATTCAGAAATTCTAAAATTCAAAAATTCAGAAATTCAGAAATTCTAAAATTCAGAAATTCTAAAATTCAGAAATTCGGAAATTCAGGAATTCGGAAATTCAGAAATTCAGAAATTTAGAAATTCAGAAATTCAGAAATTCAGAAATTAAGAAATTCAGAAATTTAGAAATTCAGAAATTCAGATATTCAAAAATTCAGAAATTTAGAAATTCAGAAATTCAGATATTCAAAAATTCAGAAATTTAGAAACTCAGAAATTCAAAAATTCAGAAATTCGGAAATTAAGGAATTTGGAAATTCAGAAATTCAGAAATTTAGAAATTTAGAAATTCAGAAATTCAGAAATTCAGAAATTTAGAAATTCAGAAATTCAGAAATTCAGAAATTCAGAAATTCGGAAACTCAGAAATTCAGAAATTCAGAAATTCGGAAACTCAGAAATTCGGAAATTCGGAAATTCGGAAACTCAGAAATTCGGAAATTCGAAAATTCGGAAATTCAGATATTCAGAAATTCAGAAATTCAGAAATTTAGAAATTCAGAAATTCAGAAATTCAGAAATTCAGATATTCAGAAATTCAGAAATTCAGAAATTCAGATATTCAGAAATTCAGAAATTTAGAAATTTAGAAATTCAGAAATTTAGAAATTTAGAAATTCAGAAATTCAGATATTCAGAAATTCAGAAATTCAGAAATTTAGAAATTCAGAAATTCAGAAATTCAGAAATTCAGATATTCAGAAATTCAGAAATTCAGAAATTCAGATATTCAAAAATTCAGAAATTCAGAAATTCAGAAATTCAGAAATTCAGAAATTCAGAAATTCAGAAATCAGAAATTCAGAAATTCAGAAATTCAGAAATTCAAAAATTCAGAAATTCGGAAATTAAGGAATTTGGAAATTCAGAAATTCAGAAGTTCAAAAATTCAGAAATTCAAAAATTCAGAAATTCGGAAATTCAGAAATTCTAAAATTCAGAAATTCAAAAATTCAGAAATTCGGAAATTCAGAAATTCAGAAATTCGGAAATTCAGGAATTCGGAAATTCAGAAATTCAGAAATTAAAAAATTCAGAAAATCGGAAATTCAGGAATTCGGAATTTCAGAAATTTAGAAATTCAGAAATTCTAAAATTCAGGAATTCGGAAATCCAGGAATTCTAAAATTCAGAAATTCAAAAATTCAAAAATTCAGAAATTCAAAAATTCAGAAATCCGGAAACTCAGAAATTCAGAAATTCAGAAATTCAGAAATTCGGAAACTCAGAAATTCAGAAATTCAGAAATTCGGAAACTCAGAAATTCGGAAATTCGGAAATTCGGAAACTCAGAAATTCGGAAATTCGAAAATTCGGAAATTCAGAAATTCAGAAATTCAGGAATTCTGAGATTCTGAGCTTCTGAAATTCTGAAATTCTGAAATTCCAAAATTCCAAATTTCAGATCCCACTCAGAAATTCAGAAATTTAGAAATTCAAAAATTCAGAAATTCTAAAATTCAGAAATCCGGAAACTCAGAAATTCAGAAATTCAGAAATTCAGAAATTCAGAAATTCGGAAACTCAGAAATTCAGAAATTCAGAAATTCGGAAACTCAGAAATTCGGAAATTCGGAAATTCGGAAACTCAGAAATTCGGAAATTCGAAAATTCGGAAATTCTAAAATTCAGAAATTCGGAAATTCAGAAATTCTAAAATTCAGAAATTTAGAAATTCAGAAATTCAGATATTCAAAAATTCAGAAATTTAGAAATTCAGAAATTCAGATATTCAAAAATTCAGAAATTTAGAATTC